CAGGGACAGGGACACTCCTCGGTGCCACCCCAGGGACAGGGACACTCCTCGGTGCCACCCCAGGGACAGGGACACTCCTCGGTGTCACCCCAGGGACAGGGACAGGGACAGGGACACTCCTCGGTGCCACCCCAGGGACAGGGACACTCCTCGGTGTCACCCCAGGGACAGGGACACTCCTCGGTGTCACCCCAGGGACAGGGACACTCCTCGGTGCCACCCCAGGGACAGGGACAGGGACACTACCTGGTGCCACCCCAGGGTCAGGGACACTCCCTGGTGCCACCCCAGGGACAGGGACAGGGACACTCCTTGGTGTCACCCTAGGGACAGGGACAGGGACACTCCTCACTGTCACCCCGGGGACAGGGACACTGCCTGATGCCACCCCGGGGATAGGGACACTCCTCGGTGTCACCCGCCGCCATTCCCTGCCAGCTCCGCCATTCCCAGGTTTTGTCCCCCATGTTCCCCTGGGCCAGATTCCCGAGGGGCTGCAGTAATTAACTGATTAATTATGGATTAATTAACTGTGCCAGGAGCTCGGGGAGGTCCTCCCTGTCACCGTTTGTCCCTCTGGTCTTGGGGACAGCGGGATCGGGAACCGAGGGATCACACACGGGATCACACATGGAATCATGGATCGCACATGGGATCACACACGGGGTCACACACGGGATCACACACGGGGTCATGGATCACACACGGGATCATGGATCACACACGGGGTCACACACAGGGTCAGGGATCACACACGGGGTCACACACGGGGTCATGGATCACACACGGGATCAAGGATCACACACGGGGTCACACACGGGATCATGGATTGCACACGGGGTCAGGGATCACACACGGGATCACACACGGGGTCAGGGATCACACACACACACGGGGTCATGGATCACACACAGGGTCACACACGGGGTCACACACAGGGTCACACACAGGGTCACACACGGGGTCAGGGATCACACACGGGGTCAGGGATCACACACGGGGTCACACACGGGGTCATGGATCATACACAGGGTCATGGATCACACACGGGGTCATGGATCACACACGGGATCAAGGATCACACACGGGGTCACACACGGGATCATGGATTGCACACGGGGTCAGGGATCACACACGGGGTCATGGATCACACAGGGGGTCAGACACGGGATCATGGATCACACACGGGATCATGGATCGCACACGGGGTCACACACGGGGTCAGGGATCACACACGGGATCACACACGGGATCAAGGATCACACACGGGGTCACACACAGGGTCACACACGGGGTCATGGATCACACACGGGATCATGGATCGCACACGGGGTCACACATGGGATGAAGGATCACACATGGGATCATGGATCACACATGGGGTCACACACGGGGTCAGGGATCACACACGGGGTCACACACAGGATCACACACGGGATCATGGATCACACACAGGATCATGGATCACACACGGGATCATGGATCACACACGGGATCATGGATCACACACCCAAGGCTCTCCCAATAACTCACACGGACAAAGGAAAAGGAAAAAGAGAAAAAGGAAAAGAGAAAAGCGAAAGGAAGTCGCGGTGGTTTCTCCGTTAATTTAATTTAATTTAATTTAATTTCATTTAATTTAATTACCCACCAGCGGGAACACCAAGCTCCTCCGCTCAGTGGAAAAGGAAGAACATTCGGAGCAATCCCCGAGGTTTTACCCCCAAAACACAAAACCTCGCGGCGGAGCTCCAACCCGGATTATTTCCTCCCTCACCAATCTCTCCGAGGAGCGGACACAGCCGCGGCCGTGCCTCAGTTTCCCCCGGCGGTGACCCCCGGGGGCTGGCATTCCTGCCGCGGGAAATGCCCGCTCTCCCCATCGCCAGGCGACGGCTCCATGCGGATTTTTTTTCACCTCCCACCGCGTTCAAAGCCCGATTTTTATCTCTGCGCGTCGCAGGCACCGGGGACATCGCTGGCACCGAGCGGGCGGGTGACACGGGCACCTGGGCTGCCGAGTCCGGGCCAAAAAAAAAAGTTAGGAGGGGCGTTTGGAATGTTTTTTTTGTCACATCCCAACCGGGTAAGAAACGCTTTTAATGGAGCATATGCGGGAGCCGGAGAAGGAGAAGCCTCACAATTGCATCTGCTGAGGGAGCAGAAGGCTCCGCCGAGGTGTGAAGTGGGAGGAGAAAAAATCTCCGAGCTGATGATGCCGGAGAAGATTGCAGAAATATTAAAGAACGTGAACACGTGGAGCGGGCAGGGCTGCCACAAAGAGCCCTGGCTTCGGGAACGGCCCCGTCCCGGTGCCCGGAGCGTTCCCCGTGCCCGGGGCCGGCCCCATCCCGGTGCCCGGAGCGTTCCCCGTGCCCGGGGCCGGCCCCATCCCGGTGCCGTGCCCGGGGCCGGCCCCATCCCGGTGCCGGGAGCGTTCCCCGTGCCCGGGAGCTCGGAGCGAGTTCCATTTTCCCCATGGAACAACAGCTGTGGATTCGCACCTGCCCGCGGCTCCTTATCAGCGCTTATCTCTGCCACCTCCTGCCCTCCTCGGGACCTGCAGCCCGAATTGTCCCCAATTGTCCCGAATAAAGGAATATTTGCAGGGTCCCCAGGGGCGGCTTTGCCCGAGGTCCCGGCCGCATCTGCCGAGGTGGCCGGGAGACAGTTTAATGTATTCTCTGACCTTTGCGAGCCTTGCCGCTGCAGCTGCCAGGCGGCCCCGGGGGGACACCGGGCAGGCAAAGGAAGCAGCAGCTTCCCAAATGCTCCAAGGCCGGGCGTTCCCTGGCCGCCGGACATTTTCGGTGACCCCGCGGCTCTCTGCCTGCCCGAGGTGGCTGGTAACCGGGATTAACTGGGATTAACTGGGATACACTGTGTAGGTACAATCCCTGCGCATCCCTGAAGCGGCTTTGGGTAAGGGCAGGTAACACACCCAAGGGCTGGCACGGCTGCTGGCACGGCTGCTGGCACGGCTGCTGGCACGGCCAGGTGCCCCGCGCAGGCAGAATAATGAGGCAAAGAGGTAAATGAGCCTCATTAGGCGAGGGGCGCCCCAATTCCTCGAGCATGCACGGCGGGGAGCTCCCGCAGAGCCGTCGCAGCAGCGGCACGGCCGCCCCGAGCCCCGCAATGGCTTTGCGGGTAATGAGTGCTCCCATCCCCGCGGCTTCCTCATGCCCGCTCATCCCGAGCCGTGCCGGCTCCGCATCCCACAGGATCTGCTCCAGGAGCTCTGGATCCCACGGGATCTGCTCCAGGAGCTCTGGATCCCACGGGATCTGCTCCAGGAGCCAGCCCTGGCTCCCACAGGATCTGCTCCAGGAGCCCTGGATCCCACGGGATCTGCTCCAGGAGCAGCCATGGCTCCCACAGGATCTGCTGCAGGAGCTCTGGATCCCACAGGATCTGCTCCAGGAGCTCTGGATCCCACAGGATCTGCTCCAGGAGCTCTGGATCCCACGGGATCTGCTCCAGGAGCCAGCCTTGGATCCCACAGGATCTGCTCCAGAAGCCAGCCCTGGATCCCATGGGATCTGCCCAGGGATCCCAGACCAGGATCCCACGTGCAGGAGGTGTTTGGGAGCCTTTGGGAGCGGGGTGCGTTACGGAAGCGCCTCTGGGAAATTTGATTTTAGGCGGACGTGTACAAATATTTGGCTTTTTTACTGTTTCCCTCGCTGACACAAAGAGACGAACCCCGAAGCGGGAGCAGACACGGGACCGGAGCCTGTGCGTGCTGGGACACCCCCATGAATAAATAAAGCCCAGCTTATTAACTCAGATTCTCTGCAATCAAACGCTCTCCGGCAGGGACACACCCTCCCAAGCCCGCGGCAGGACATCCCCGAAGCAATCCAAGGGCCAAATCCCCGCTGTGCCCGGGGGCTTTGCGAGAGGCCGAGGATTCTGAGAGCCCTTCCTCACCGATCTCCTCCTCCCCGCAGGTACGGCACGGGGATTAGCGCCGCTCGGCCTGCTCGAGGTGTAATTGCATTAGCCACGCTCCGGTTCTTCTCTCTTTCCCTCCTTTCCTCCCTCCCGTGCTCATTTTCCAGCTCCTGGCCCAGTTCCAGGTAGGATGCAGGCAGCACACCTGGCAGCACCTCGCAGCTTTCTCACCGGGGCTCGTGGTTTTTGCTGCAGAGGAAAAGCTCTGCTTTCCCAACCCATCTGGGACAGCTTCCAGGAGACAGCGCGGGTGACACCCCGGGAGGCGAAAATGGTGGAATTTCTGCTGGAATTCCTGGCTCTGCGGGAGAACCTCACGCCCCTCGGGGTGAATCTGCAGCCCAAAAAGCACAAGGGTTTAGCGCGTTCCCAAACTCGCCCCCACGCTTCCCTCTCCGGGTCTCCCTGACTGAACCAGCTTTATTCCATCCTAGGAAACCTGAGTTTCATTGCCATCAGAGTTGTAAGGAAAAGAACAAACAAGTCTCAGCCCCGGGGAAGTTGCTCCAAGAGTGTGGATTTGATCCCCATACCCAAAGCAAGGGCACGGCCTCGCAGCCATCCCACCGACTGGAACCCAGGGAAGAGCCGGGATCTGGGGGTGCAGAGCCCCCCCTGGCTGGGATGTGCCCCCCTTTCCCCGGCCCAGAGCCCCCCTCTGCCCAGCCTGGCAGCAGGAAGGAGCTGCGGAGCCCGAGGGCAGCTCCAGGCTGAGCCCACACTTAAGAGACTTAAAGGCCTCGGATCTCCCCTTTGGAGCGGGATTAGAGGCTGTTTGTCCTCCAGATTGACACCAGAAGGAGCGAACTTTAATCTCCTCCCAGGGCCTTGTTATCCTCTTTTCTGAGACTCATCCCATCGGATGTGAAGCCTGGGCAGAGGTTCTGGTGGGGGCAGCGGGGCCGTGCCCCTTCAGCTGCCCACGGGCACAAGGCGGGGAAGGGAAATTCATTGTGCCAGGGTTGGAAAAGCTCCGCGGGGCCCGGATCTGCTTTCACGGGAGCTGGCTGGGTACCCACATTCCCTGTGGGAGCTGCAGTGCCCTGGAGCAGTTTCAAAATGCCACGACGACGGCCGAGCTTCCTTCACCCCTCAGCTACGGGACAGCATGAATTTTTCCAGTGATCTGGTGCTTCCTATGGCTAGCAGAGAAGGGGAGTGATTAATCCCCATCTTTTTGGTGGAGGGAGAAGAGAAGATCAGGACGGAGCGAGGAAGGAAGGGAAGCTGTAACGAGACACGTTCCCACCTAGTGAGGTTTGAAGAACCTCTGCGAAGCCACAGGAGGTTTCCAAAGGACACGTCGTGGTTTGTCCCCAGTGCAAAATGGCACCGAAGGAGGGAACTCGCTGTGCCAGCGGCAGCCTCCGAACGGATGGCTTGGCGAGGGAGAGGAGGGAAGGAAGCACTCAAAGCTCTCATCAGATGCTCCGAAAATTATTTCAGCTGCTAAAAATGCTAAACAAATTTGGATTTCAAAGGACATGTTCCAAAGCCTTCCCCCTTTGATAATTGCTTTTTGAGGGGTTTTTTTGGAGCCATCTGTCATAGATTTCATTCCAGTCTCGGAGGGCCGATGTTCCCCTCCCCGGAGCGCCCTGGGATGAGGGGGGCAGCTCCCCCCCGAGGCTTTGGGACCCCTTCCAGCGGCCCAGGGGGCTCGGGGAGAGCCGCACAGGGACTCGGGCAAGGCTCGGAGCGCCAGGCCAAGGGGGAGCGGCTTCCCTCGGCCGCAGGCCGGCTCAGAGTTCCCGCCCGCGGCGGGGCCGAGGCCCGGCACAGCAGCCGCGGCCGCCCCGTACCTGGAAGCGTTCCGGGGCACTCTGGGGTTACCTGGGCGGCGGCAGGTACGGGTGTGGCAGCGGCTGGTGCCCGGGGCCGCCTCCGTGCCGAGCTCCGGGCCCGCGGCGCTCCCGGGGCTCCGTGAGGGGAAACGCGGCCCCGCAGCGCCCCCTGGCGGGCATGAGCGCGGGCGGCGCGCGCGGGAGGCGGGAACGGGGCGGGGACGGCGACACCGGGACAGGGACAGGGACAGGGGATAGGGACAGGGACAGGGACACCGGGACAGAGACACAAGGGACACCGTGACACTGTGACAGGGACAGGGACACGGGCAGGGACACTGTGACAGGGACACTGACAGGGACACCGTGACAGCGACACGAGACAGGGACAGGGACACAGGGACAGGGACACGGGATAGGGACAGGGACACCGGGACAGGGACAGGGACACGGGATAGGGACAGGGACACCGGGACAGGGACAGGGACACGGGATAGGGACAGGGACACCGGGACAGGGACAGGGACACGGGATAGGGACAGGGACACCGGGACAGGGACAGGGACACGGGATAGGGACAGGGACACCGGGACAGGGACAGGGACACGGGATAGGGACAGGGACACCGGGACAGGGACAGGGACACGGGATAGGGACAGGGACACCGGGACAGGGACAGGGACACGGGATAGGGACAGGGACACCGGGACAGGGACAGGGACACGGGATAGGGACAGGGACACCGGGACAGGGACAGGGACACGGGATAGGGACAGGGACACCGGGACAGGGACAGGGACACGGGATAGGGACAGGGACACCGGGACAGGGACAGGGACACGGGATAGGGACAGGGACACCGGGACAGGGACAGGGACACGGGATAGGGACAGGGACACCGGGACAGGGACAGGGACACGGGATAGGGACAGGGACACCGGGACAGGGACAGGGACACGGGATAGGGACAGGGACACCGGGACAGGGACAGGGACACGGGATAGGGACAGGGACACCGGGACAGGGACAGGGACACGGGATAGGGACAGGGACACCGGGACAGGGACAGGGACACGGGATAGGGACAGGGACACCGGGACAGGGACAGGGACACGGGATAGGGACAGGGACACCGGGACAGGGACAGGGACACGGGATAGGGACAGGGACACCGGGACAGGGACAGGGACACGGGATAGGGACAGGGACACCGGGACAGGGACAGGGACACGGGATAGGGACAGGGACACCGGGACAGGGACAGGGACACGGGATAGGGACAGGGACACCGGGACAGGGACAGGGACACGGGATAGGGACAGGGACACCGGGACAGGGACAGGGACACGGGATAGGGACAGGGACACCGGGACAGGGACAGGGACACGGGATAGGGACAGGGACACCGGGACAGGGACAGGGACACGGGATAGGGACAGGGACACCGGGACAGGGACAGGGACACGGGATAGGGACAGGGACACCGGGACAGGGACAGGGACACGGGATAGGGACAGGGACACCGGGACAGGGACAGGGACACGGGATAGGGACAGGGACACCGGGACAGGGACAGGGACACGGGATAGGGACAGGGACACCGGGACAGGGACAGGGACACGGGATAGGGACAGGGACACCGGGACAGGGACAGGGACACGGGATAGGGACAGGGACACCGGGACAGGGACAGGGACACGGGATAGGGACAGGGACACCGGGACAGGGACAGGGACACAGGGACACTGTGACAGGGACAGGGACACGGGCAGGGACACTGTGACAGGGACACTGACAGGGACACCGTGACAGCGACACGAGACAGGGACAGGGACACAGGGACAGGGACAGCAACACGGGCAGGGACAGGGACAGGGGCAGGGACACTGTGACACTGTGACAGGGACAGGGACACTGTGACACTGTGACAGGGACACGGCAGGGACACAGGGACAGGGACACGGGATAGGGACAGGGACACGGGATAGGGACAGGGACAGGGACACTGTGACACTGCGACAGGGACACGGGATAGGGACACTGTGACAGGGACAGTGACACTGTGCCAGGGACAGGGACATGGGCAGGGACACTGTGCCAGGGACAGGGACACCGGGACACTGTGACAGGGACACTGTGACAGGGACAATGTGGCAGAGACAGCAACAGTGTCCTGAGCTGTGCCCCCTCCCCATGGCAGTGCCACTGTCCCGGGCTGTGCCGCCTCCCCATGGCAGTGCCACTGTCCCGGGCTGTGCCGCCTCCCCATGGCAGTGCCACTGTCCCGGGCTGTGCCGCCTCCCCATGGCAGTGCCACTGTCCCGGGCTGTGCCGCCTCCCCATGGCAGTGCCACTGTCCCGGGCTGTGCCGCCTCCCCATGGCAGTGCCACTGTCCCGGGCTGTGCCGCCTCCCCATGGCAGTGCCACTGTCCCGGGCTGTGCCGCCTCCCCATGGCAGTGCCACTGTCCCGGGCTGTGCCGCCTCCCCATGGCAGTGCCACTGTCCCGGGCTGTGCCGCCTCCCCATGGCAGTGCCACTGTCCCGGGCTGTGCCGCCTCCCCATGGCAGTGCCACTGTCCCGGGCTGTGCCGCCTCCCCATGGCAGTGCCACTGTCCCGGGCTGTGCCGCCTCCCCATGGCAGTGCCACTGTCCCGGGCTGTGCCGCCTCCCCATGGCAGTGCCACTGTCCCGGGCTGTGCCGCCTCCCCATGGCAGTGCCACTGTCCCGGGCTGTGCCGCCTCCCCATGGCAGTGCCACTGTCCCGGGCTGTGCCGCCTCCCCATGGCAGTGCCACTGTCCCGGGCTGTGCCGCCTCCCCATGGCAGTGCCACTGTCCCGGGCTGTGCCGCCTCCCCATGGCAGTGCCACTGTCCCGGGCTGTGCCGCCTCCCCATGGCAGTGCCACTGTCCCGGGCTGTGCCGCCTCCCCATGGCAGTGCCACTGTCCCGGGCTGTGCCGCCTCCCCATGGCAGTGCCACTGTCCCGGGCTGTGCCGCCTCCCCATGGCAGTGCCACTGTCCCGGGCTGTGCCGCCTCCCCATGGCAGTGCCACTGTCCCGGGCTGTGCCGCCTCCCCATGGCAGTGCCACTGTCCCGGGCTGTGCCGCCTCCCCATGGCAGTGCCACTGTCCCGGGCTGTGCCGCCTCCCCATGGCAGTGCCACTGTCCCGGGCTGTGCCGCCTCCCCATGGCAGTGCCACTGTCCCGGGCTGTGCCGCCTCCCCATGGCAGTGCCACTGTCCCGGGCTGTGCCGCCTCCCCATGGCAGTGCCACTGTCCCGGGCTGTGCCGCCTCCCCATGGCAGTGGATGGATGGATGACGGATGGATGGATGGACGGATGGATGGAAAATGGAAGTTTTCTTGCACTGCCCTCTTCCCCACAGACGTCGACAGCGGCACAAAGCCCCCCAAGCTTCATTTCCCAGCCCAGCCCCTTTGCATCTCCTCCTTTCTCCTCTCCTCTTCCCAAATCCTCTGGAGTTTTGCCGCTTGGACTCTTCCATTCCCATTCCCATCCCATCCCATCCCATCCCATCCCATCCCATCCCATCCCATCCAGGACACCCGAGTGACCGGGCTCTGGAGGGTGACTCGGGCTCACATGAATTCCTCCTTTGTTCTTTATCTCGCTGCTATCAAACGAGCAACTCAAAAGTGCAAAGCCCTCTTCCATTCCCATTCCCATCCCCATCCCATCCCATCCCCTCCCCTCCCATCCCATCCAGGACACCCGAGTGACCGGGCTCTGGAGCGGTGATTTGGTCTTCGGGGGGAAAAAAAAACAAACCCTCCCTTTCAATCAGCTCTTTGAACGGCCCTTTGAAAAGAAACTTTTTTTTTATTCAGTGGAGGGAACGTGTTCCTCAAACACATTTCCCCCCAATTTACCCGAAATATCGACGGCCCCAGTCCCCGGAGCCAGAGGGAACCCCAGGAACGAGCGGTTGTTTTCCAGAACTGGCATTTCGAACGCGGCTCCCAATTAAAGAAACGAAGCCGCGCTCACAAATGCAAATAAGAACCCACCCCGTTCTTCCAGCTCGTATCCGAGAGAAAATTCCGGCTTCCCTTCCCTGGGATTTATTTTATTTTTTTTTTTTTAAGGATATTTTCTATTTTCATCCCGCGATCCCGTGTAATACACATTCTTGGCATTTCTTATCACTCCCAACCATGCCTTTCGCAATTTTTTTTCATGTTTGTTCCGAATTTCAGGGCTGCTCATCCTTTTCGCCTCAGACCGAAAGCCTATCGCGCGTTCTCATCATTTTAATTAAACGAGGGCCGAGCCGGGGCAAACGTTTGATTTTGACTCCAAAGGTGCATGCAAATCACCGGCTCCGTTCGATTCAGGATGGAAAAGCTCCATCCCTTCCTGCCAAACTCGGGGCCGACGAAAAGCCGAGAATTCCCGCATTAAACGCAACTCGATCCGCGGCGTAAAACTCCGATCTTTCCACTCGTGGCGCGCGCCCCGTCGGAATTCATCAACTCCCAACAAGAGTTGATGAATTCAACAAGAGTTGATCAACTCCCAACAAGACCAAAATTTGCATTAAATGGCTCCGGAAACGAAATTTCCCAGCCGTGGGAACGATCTCCAAATGACTTCCTCTTGTAATGGCTTCCCATTAAAGGCGCTTCCAAGAGCAGCTGCGGAGCAGGATCCCGGGACCGAGCCACGCTCGTTCCCCACGCCTCGGGAATGTCACCCATTCCCCACACCTCGGGAATGTCACCCATCCCAGCTGGCCCCAAATCCCCTTGGGCTGGGAGAGCCCACTGTGGGAGACCCTCCCTCATTTTTTTTCAGACCGAGTGGATTTGAGTTATTTATCGGGAGCGTGGTTTTTTTTTTTTTTCCCTGGAAATAAATCGGCGGGGCTGTAATTTGGACGTAATGTTCCCCAAAAGCCATTCAGGCAAAATCTCTTTTTAACTGTGCCTAATTACGGATCCGCACCAAAACCGGGAGCAGCCAACGGAATGTTGATTGTTTCTCTCACAAAGGGGAAAAATCATAAATTCTTTCTAATGGGATCTTTAATAATAAAAAAGAACATAATCATTACTACCCGAAGACGGATGGCTTCCATGGGGCTTCCTCACCAGCATTTTGTCTGATTCCGTCTCCGTTGCGCTCGCAGC